ATATGGAAAAAACCTGAAGTGTGCAAGATAGGGACTCGAGCAGGGGCCTTTCCAGTCATATGCTTTTTTGTAAGTATTAAGGCAAGTCTTGATATTTTGTTTAAAATATGAAAAAAACGTGAGCAGCTCAATATTTTAAACGTTGATATAGTGATACAAGCATTTAAGGAGCCTCACAGGGGAAGCTTAGGCACACAAGGGATTCAGATATCTGCAAAGCTGCATGTGCAGAATTTAAATTTCAGTTATTTAAATGTAAATCTGTTAAGTATCAGCTCAGCATCTAAGCGCTCTTGTGAATGTGAGCTCAGGCAGCTCGGTGAAGGCATCAAGGGAACCCTGGGGCACAAGGACAACTAAAAGCTGCCTCAAAGTCTCTTCCAGCTTCCAAATCCATTGCACATATGGCTATGTAAGGTTATTCATGGCTGTGGTGAGATTCTGGCATTGAAATAGTTGCTGCAGGAAATTGCAACCTCACCTGAGGGGCTGGCAGTAGTCATTATGGACTATGCAGCATAAATACCAGGAGTCAAGTTTCTAAAAAACTTCTTTTCTTCTAGGAGCTTGTACACCGTTGTTTCTTTTCCATTCTGTGCTCCTTGGTATGAGGGTATTTCTTGGCCTCTTGTGGAAGCTACTTTCTCTTTTTGCTGGAAGGTACGGATGCTGTACGAGCTCTTGCAGTGTCACAGCGGGTTCTGGGCAGAGGAATGGATCAGCTCTTGGTGTCTACCCTCAGCCTTGCCATCAGTTCATTCAGTGAGTGAGTCACTCTGCGTGTATGTCTCCATTTATCCTTCTCTGTGGTGGGAAGGAGATCAATGTCTGTGTCAGGCGGATTGTTCCACTGTGCTGGCACTAGTGGGCAGATACTGCGATGCCAATGGTGCACGACAGGGCTCTGGCTGCAGAGCAGAGTTTCTTGTTCAGAGGAACTTCCCATACACACTCTATTTTTCAACTGAAACAGGGTAAGTCTTAAAAAAAAAAAAAAAAAGGCTGTCTGTTTGATAGAAGATTTGCAAGGGACTCTCACAGTGACTGAGGTGTCAGGGCAGACTGAGACTTTTTCTTGGGTTTGGCAGAAGATTCTCAAAGCCAGAGCTGAACTGACATCATGAGCTGGTATTCCACAGATTATTTTCCTTGAAAGTTCCACAGGCTTCTGATCTTGGGTCACGCTTTGCCTTGTTTCCCCTACCATTCTCTTTTTAGATTATGTTATTTCACACAATGAGATACTAAAAAAGAACACAAGGGGCACCTCACCTGGTGCACTGGTCACTGCAGAGCATCCCTTAGGAAATACAGAATTTCTATGTATCCAGCCTGCTGAAGTTGTCCTTTCACCATGACAACATCTGTGATAAGGAAGACAGTTTTGGTCCTGCTCTCACCCTGTCCAGGCTGCAAAAAAAAACAACTGGCAGCTTCCCTGTTTGGTCTTCATGCACTTCTTTCCACTCTGTCCTATTTCCAGGTTCCTTAAAAAGACTTTGTGGGAGCAGCAGTATACAGAGTCACTGACAGCAGTAGGATGAGAATCAAATGGAAAAGCTGCTCCATTGATATCTAGTTATTGAGAGTTGCATAAATGTCCATTTTCACCTCAAACAGCCTGACAGAGGCAGCAGTCACACCTTTCCTGTGCCTGAGAGGTCTCACAGGTACTGGGAGCACTGGAGGACTTGCAGCTCCAACACCTAAATTTATGAGACCTGGTAAAACATAAACACTCACCTTAACATAGCTGTGACAGTTAAGTCTAGCACTACACTGGTTTTAAGTCCTGAATATCAACCAGCTGGCAGAGCAGCCCTCAGCCTCCTTGTTTCAGCAACATGGTGCCCTCTCTCTCTGGGTGCATCTCCAGGATGAGTTCTTCACTGTAAAGCTCCTTTGCTTGATGCTTCCAAAGCAATGTAGGGAATGTTTAATATTTATAAATAGTGAGGATTTCTACCCTGCTTCAGCTCTCATTATAGTTGCAGTGATTCAAACCTCCAGCACAGACAGAAAGTGCCTTGAGCTGAAACTGAGAAACTATCTAATAAAATATAGTCATGAGATGAATAGAAGCTCTACACTTGAAGTGGCTTGAGCATGCTTGAAAGATTTATTTCCTGGCTTCCTGTGGAGGGCTTTTTAATAGGGAGGATTTGGCTCTCATATGTATGTATATACATCCATATGAGAGAGAAAAAGATTTCACAGTTTTAAGGGGGGAAAGGGATATTCACGCTTTCTGAGGAGGTGCTACAGCAAAAGCATTCTCTGTTTTACATGGGCCTGTTATATTTACAGCTGCATTTCCTGTAAGAAAACAGATGTGAGTACATCATTCACAGTCTTAAAGGCAAATCTGCCACACAGTTGGGGTACGTGCAGAGAGACAGTCAAAGCTGGAATGCTTGAAGACTGCACTGTGGACTGGGACATTGAAGCATAGATGGGGAGAGTTTGTATTTGAGCTCAGATGAGGAGAAGGCTGCTAGAGAGGATTCTGTAGCCATACTCAGATTAGGTAGAAATAAACAGTAATTCAAAAAAATGTCATATATTATGTAACTCCAGGGCAACACTTCCAGGATCTGAAAAAATAGAGCTCAGTATTCATTTCGTACTCTCATCCCTTTTGATTTGTATGCCTGTCCTATGACACATCACTTCTGTCTGAGCTGCAACTCTTCCCTTGCTCCTAGGGTGCTTTCTCCAGAGCCTAGAGGGGAGATTAGGCAGGAAAATTCCTAGGATTTTGCTCCTCAACCTGTCTGGGCTGGATATATAAAGTAGTGACAATTAACAAGCAAAGGAAGCGTCCCATTGTTGCCAGTCAGGAGACAGAGTCATTCCGCAGGGCTCTTTCTGCAAGATGATTCCGATTCTGGATTAAAGGGGCATACAGCCCACCTGGCCTCCTTAATCCTCTCTTGTCAGCTGTTATTTCCTTAGATGTGAGCAAAGACATGATATGGCACCTCAGAAGTTTCCACTCATCCTCTCCAAATACCACTTTGTTACTGCACAGGATTTGAAGCTTTCTCATAATTTTCTTTTGTTTCTAAGGCTTGCAATGTGCATCCCAAGTGCTACTTCTCCCATGTTTACCTGACTTTGAAAAATCTAGTTCACAGACCCTGCTGACACTAAGATCATCATGTCAGGGTACTTAGTCTGATGCAGTTAAGATAATGAAGCCATCTTTACCCATGCTGTTTGCTTGCTAGAGGGCTTTCACTAGGGTGGTTTAATAACTTAAAGTGTATTTCCTCAAGCCCTCCCTACTGGCTGAAACCTTTCCAGTAGGAATTATACCACAACGTTTTTTCCTCAGTAGTTGACTATCCCCGTGCTACGGTGTAGCTTGCACCTTCATGATGCAAATCATCTTTATGAACAACATCCCAGAATTAGCCCTGCTGATGACTGGATCTACCTCCTTCAAGAGCAACTCACTCTGTCCTAAGTGATCTGAGCAAAGTAGGAATAATCATCCTCTTGTGGCATCTTTCTCTCTCCCCCTCTCTAGGGAACATAGAATTCAGTTTACTACAGCTCCATCATTTCTGGGCAGATACACATTAGTGAGCCCACGCCTGGTTTTAACCCCACATTCAGACCCATCCCTACTATGTTATGGTAACAAGAATATATATAGACAGAGCTGGTTAGCCACCCTCTACTTGAATTGCACCTTTTGTCATCTCCTTGGCACATAAAATACTGTCTTACATTCATGTGCTGTTCATGTGGGAGTAACCTGAAGCAGTCTGAGCATAGGAAAATCTGTACATGTAGGAAAAGAAGTGAGTTGCCTTCAGCAAGACAACCTTATTTGACCCTCCTCCTTCCTTTGCAGCTGGTGTTTCAGCTGGGACAGGGAAGAATGAAGGAACTAAGGCTAAGGCCAGATGCTGGCATGAGGCATACAGGAGCTGAACAGATTTTCTCCATGCTGTCCTGCCAGTGCACATTAATCCTGAGCCACAGTGCCCTCTGTCTTTCCAGCTCCTGATCCTTCCCCTTAATCCTTCTATTTTTACCTTCTGAGCTGGAGCCTCCTTTCTTATGTGCCAGTTTTACACCAGGATAGATTCATGGCTGTCTGTGGATTTTTTCCTGGCTTACTCTCACCTACAAAAGAAAAGAACTAGATTTATCCCTTTTAGGTACCAAATGCAGTATCCCCTATCCCTTTGTTCTATAAATAGTCCCTATATTCCTACTTTTCATCGGTTTGTTCCAACACACAGCGACCTGTTATCCTAGTTCTATATTCCCACACAGCACTCCCTGATGCTGCTGCTGAAGCTGTGCCAGGTGGAGCACCTTCCTCCATACTGAGTCAGTCTGGGATAAACTCTTCCAATGTTGTCTTCCTTGGCACCAGCATTAGCAAGGAGATGTCTACCAGTAGCCTTTTTTTTTTTCAGTATCACCCCTCCACATTCAGCCTGGCTGTTGGAGATTGTCCTTAGGATAGTTAAGTGTTCCTCTTAGTACCATTGAAGAGAGCCAGTTAAGGATTTGGACCTTCCTGTTCTCTGCACTGGCCAAATGGAGGAAAAGGCCAGAGCTTCTCTTGCAGAACTGAAGTCCAAGAGCGGCATGATATGCTCTTAATAAAGGAGCGATTATATGAATCACAGTAGCAAAACGTTCTTGCAGAGCACATGCCCCACTCCCTGACTGATGCATCCAAAGGCGGCTGTACATCATTCCAGAGGAGGGATTCGCCTCAGACAGGGGTTAGCATATAGCCCCCTGTGTTCCAGAGGAGTAGCTACAGAGCTAGACTTCAGGAGTGTCTTTTAATGAAGGTGCTTGTGGCTGTTTATTGGACAAAAATAAATTCCAACTGGCCCATATAACAAATGAAACTCAGCTACAAAAATGTAATGATATTTATTCACCCAGCTGCCAGCAAACTCACATGCACTATGAGTCATTCCAGATGTGGATAAAAACAAAGTCTGTCTGTGAAAGTAAGTTTCCTGATCCCGAGGAGACTTGGTTTGGGAAAGGAGCTGCACACTGACTTCAGCTGTACTCAGAAGAACAGACAGGTTCTTCTTCAAAGGGGGAGGGGGAGAGGAAAAGCCATTATTTATTCCTGAAAAGAAAGGAGGTGGGAAATTAAAAAGCTACTATACAGATAGACACACGTATTTTAAAGAGAAGGATGCTTTGGAAGACTTTGCTGCTGCTGCTGTTTTATTACAGTGCTCATGCCACTGTGACCCACAGATGGAGCAGAGGTAAGATTTAAACATGTAAAACTATTTAAGACAAAAATTTGGCTTTGTAGATTTGGTCTGAAATTATGCTGCATTAGACATATGTATATATATATATACACATACATATATGTATATATATATATGCACATACATATATATACACAATTTGTCCCTCCCAGCTCTGGAATTCTTTTTCTCCATTAAACAGGTCAACTAAAAATTATATAGATAAATAGAAAAATACATATGATTAAGAGCAAAAAGGTAAAATTATATATGTATTCTATTATAATAAAATAGCCCAAGAACCAAAATTACAGTCTTGCACTTTTTCCTTTCTCTCTTCCTTCTCATTTTTCTCCTGAATTTACAAAAATAAATTATGAAACCCTAAAATAAAAGCTTTTGCAGTCACAGGTGGCATAATCTTCTGCTCTAGCAGGCAGATACTTGGTGATAGTAAAGACATGAATGTCTAGATTGTGTAAGGTGCCTGGAATGCCTGCTACCCTACCCTGACAGACTAGCACACACAACACAAGGAAAGCCATCTCACGTGTTATCAGGCTTCAGCTGACAATATATAGTTGTGACATATTTGTATTCAACTGTGTGACAGTAACATATGGAATGTTTTGGGACTACTGGATTGCGTAGAAGATGCTCACTTAAAAGCTAGTGATGATGTCCTTTCCCTTTTTTGGTTTTATTCTCTCCTCTGGTATTTGGCATGGGTTCAGTAGCTGCTGGAATTGGAGAAAGGAAATACCTCCCGGAAGATTTCTTTGGTTCTGATATTGAGATTCATAGATATTTAAAGGAACCAGAGTCTGCTAAAAAAAATAGAGAATTCAGATGCTTCCCTCCCCACTCTGATCTCTCCTGTCTTCCTCATTGCAGCTGGTACCTTTCTAATCTGCTATTTGGGTTTGATTTGGTTTTGTAAGAGAGAGAATGGCCAAGTGAATTCATGAAGAGCTGCCCAGTTCTGCTCAGGCTGTATGAATTAATTAATTGTTCCTTGCAGTTAGGGGGAGCTCACTGACAGGGCACTGACCTGGGACTCAAATGGCAGGTTCTTTCCCCAACTTTTCCACTGGTTTCTTGGATGATACTACATGAGTTGTCACAAATTTTGTATGCAGATATTTGCTGGGGAGGAAACCAAAATTCTTTTCCCCAGCTACTGGGACTGCTCAGCTCTAAGAATGTTTTAGCGGCATGACTCCTTCAACAATAACTAATTCAGAGAACCTCCACTCCCCTGAACTATTTACGTGTCAGCCCAATCAATCCCAGCCTAATCTGCAGTATCTAGAGAGCGCCAAAGCACTGTCCTAATTTTTGAACTGCTTAGTAACCTAAGATAAAATCTGAGTACTGAGATATAACACACCCTTCCACACACTCAGAGCTCTTCCCTCCCTCCACAAATGGCAACTGAGTTTTGTTTAGGTTAAACCTCAGTCTTTTAAGTCCTATCCAACTCCCAATCTGAGTTTTGCAATGAAAAAGCAAAGACAGATCAACATCTGGACTGATGAAAATGAAAGACAGATCTGTGTATCATCTTCATATTGACTAGTAGTCCAAATTTTTTACAAAACAATAGGCAAAGAGTCTTGCTGTAATTGCCAACAGTTGTTGTTTGCAGTAGAAATGAGCAGTCAATACTGGATATAACAAGGTCCAGCTTTTATCATTTTTTCATTAAGAGGTAGCAGGAGAGCCTTGGATCCACTGCCCAGTCATTTAAGCATTGGCTCAAGAAAATGTCAGACATGAGAAAAGATGGACATACTTGTGCTGACTAGTGACTGGGAACTCCAGACTGCTACCTCCCTTTTTCCCTTTGCTTAGAAGCATCAATGAATGGAAAAAAAACTCCACCAACATTTTTGGCAGGAAAACAGAGAATGCTTTATTCTTTTTTATTCCTTCAGCCATTTGCATTAAAAATCTCACACACTCCTCATTCTGCCTAGATTGAACTATGGACATTGGTCTGGAGGTCACAGGCAAAGCCTGACCTTTAGGATGGACATGTTCAGAATAAAAAAGAAAAGGTCCTGAATGATGATGAAACAATTTTCTTGTCATCATCTCAAGTTTTCTTGAGCCCCTTGTAGGCTTAGCTGTATGGAAGTTCCCCCTCATGTTTTGTGAAGCACCTCTCTCTGAGGGAGAACAGGTAGCATTAAGTTTCTACTGTGTTATTCCCTATGCAATGGCAGAGGCGAGATCATATTAATTTCTTAAGTTTCCAATAAGAATTCCAGATCTTAAGAGATGTTTTTGCTGGAGAAACAAAGAAACAAATCTTGTTTTTTGACTACAAAAATAAACAAATTAAAAAAAATTCCACACGTGCAGCTGTGGTAACCAGAGACAGTGTCACTGCTTTCCACCAAGTTGCTTTCATTAAACTTATTTGACAAGTACCAGTCCATTGGAGAGCAGAGCTTAGCTTTATGAGCATTATAAGAATTGTCTGTTCCCTGAGGAGAAACCCTAAGGCAATCCCTATTAACACGTTTCATCTCAGCTGGCTATAGTTTATTTGCTTTAAGGGCTGCCTGATTGTAATAAATGGCACACAAACAGTAGCATGCTTGCTATGTGGTTACTCAGGGAGTGGAGATGCAGATTTATTATGGTTGTGGCTTTTAGACAGTGGAGAAACAGCTGCAAGGGTGAACCCTTCAATGGGGCTGGAAAAACAGATGTTGAAAAACACAAAAAAAGCAGGTAAAACACTTTTCACCCATCAGTGAGAAAAGGATGTATTAGCACCACTGAGGTTTCATGCTTTTGGGAAGTGTTTGTGTTGTTCCTTCCAGACCTCAAAAGTGGCATTACAGTCCTATCAAGATCTTTATGGTCCACATGCATTATTTTTTAGCCAGTCACTAGTGGCTGGTGAACGTCAAATGGCTGCTCCAGAGCACCAAGGGGAATAGTTTGTTCTCCTTAAAGGATTTCTGCAGAAGGAGTTACTTCGAAGAACAGAAGGTCCATCCTCCTTAAAAAAGTGCAAACTTTTAGTATTTGGTCTAGGTTTATGATAACTTAGTTTGAGAGTTTGATGGAGCAGCTACGACTACATGAGCAACTTTTGCCCATTGCTTCTGCCTGTGGGCTTTGCAGGCAGCTCTCTGGTTCCAGGACAGGGAAGAGTGTTTAGAACAGAAAGAGACTGGCTGTTGCTAAAAAGTCAGACAGTATTTTTATAAGGAAGCAGTGTTTAGTATATTCTAATCTCTGTGATCATCTGCTGTGTACCAGGTTGCTGATCTTTGCTGTGTGTGCAAAGATTGAGTGCCTTGGAGTTTAGGGCATGCCCTGCATCCCCAAAGCTTTTCATCTTGTTTGCCTCTCTTCCCACTACATCCCATACTGCATCCTTACAGCCAGACACTCCCTGCTCAAGCAACTTCTGGGATTCCACCACTGACAGTAACACATTTTTGGCTTCACTTGGACAGCACAAGCAAAGGGAATGTGGGTTGAACTCAGCATGTAATTGCAGCACAAATGATCAAACACATAGACATGTGTGCCCAGCAGTCCCTAAGTATATGAGGTTATGGCCTGGGCTTATTTAGGACATTACAAGGTTTCCAGAATTCTGATCCAAGTGTAAAACAAAATTACACCAGCTGGACCAGCTACCAGAACTTTTTAAAATGCAACATCTATTCAACTTCCTTTTCGTTTCTATAAAGTCATTGTTATCCAATTCTTAAAATATTCAGTGCAAATGAAAGATGTGACATGCTATGAAACAGAGCCAATTCTGTCTAATCCTGGCTGTGTAAAGAATGTTACTTCTTATAGAGAAAATGCAGTATTTCCCTTTTCTCTGGCTCTCACGTGATCACTTGGAAAATTGCCTCAACCACCCCAACTTCCCTGCTTGTTGGGTCCATTCCAGTGACCTCACTGAAGCTGTAAAATGATTGATCGATCTGCCACAGGGATTTTTCCCACCTATCCCGAATCTGTTCCATTAAGCTCATCCAGTTTCTGGGAATGTGTGTTTGTAACCTGGAGTCCCTTGATACAAATTATTACTGCACCAAGTATCTCAACTCGACCTGTAAAGAAAGGAAGGTACTTCCTGAAGGGCTGCCTGGGATTGAAATTCAGAGGAATCAGCTTAGCATCTGGATGACCTGAAGAAGACAAATTATACTTCCTAAATTCTTTTGCAAAGAGTTGTGTAAGAGATGAGCATCATTTTAAGTCACAGACCTAAACTTAGATCCATAAAAACCAAACCTTCCTACACTGTAAGTAGTAGGAAGGAGGCATTAGAAGAATATTTTCTGCCTTTTAAAAAATTAGAAGAAAGGAAAGACAAAAATAAGTTTTCAAGAAGGTCTGGAAAATATTTTAGAATTGATGAGCTAAGGAAGCAGCTAAGTTATCTGTGTGTCACAATGGTGGGTGGAGCAGAGAGCACTGACCCAGAGGTGAGGTGAGCTGCCTGTCATGCACATCACAGGACAGTGCAGGGACTCTAGCTGGTGTCCCAGCAGGATGATAGCCATGTGCATGGCATATGCCCAAGGGAATGAGCTCTTCCTTTCAACTGGGATCACCGGGTTGGACCCAGTGCCACACTGATATGATCATACTTCTGCTGGCTCTGACATCTCTGCCCTATGCTTTGTTGTGCAGCACAGACAGAGACTTTCCAATCCCTGTGGCAGATCCCTTGGACATCAACTGTTGGGACAATCTGGAACTATCAAACAAAGTGATATTGGAGGAGGAGTGGGGAAGAGACTGAAGAAAGGCCTGAAAATGGATTAGATATTAGTGCCTAGTAAAGCTGCTTGGTGATGCAAAAGGTCGCTGGAATATAACAGTCTCTGAATGGATTTAATCTCTGTAGGATAAATGTCCAAAAGGGTAGGGCTGTGACTGTAACCAAAGCCCTTTACAGCATGTCCTGATTCCTCAAATACTTCTTTAGGGGCAGGATTAGTTAATTTAACCTGCATGGAGGATGA